CCTCTGACCCATCTTATTTCCTCTTTTCACAATTGTGCTTTTCTTCTTGCCTGCCCAACCCAGGTCCTGGCATCTGCCATTCCCTCTTTCTTTGAAACTTCCCCCTCTCTGAATTCCTTGTCAGTTCCTGCTCATTCTTGAAGTCGACTCAGTTCTCACGTCCTCAGGAAAGCCTTCCCAGGCCGCCCTCCCCTCGAAAATCCACAGCCCGAAGCCCTCGGGGCAACCTGGATCCTCTCCCAACACGTTCCAGGGTTATGTTCTTGCTTTTTTCTTTCTGCTCTTGTTTCTCCTCGGTCCTCTCTCCCACCAGGCCGTGAGCCCCGCTGGGGTGAGGCTGCAGACTTCTGCTCCTCAGCGCAGCCTCGGTGCTTTGCATAGTGCCTGGCACGCGGAAGGAGCTTAAACAGTTTGCTAAATGGATGAAAGGAGATGAGCAGTTGCCCCATCTAAAAGCAGAAGGTGCTTCTTGGCAGCGGGTGAGCCCTCCATCAGGGAGGGGCATTCAAATACAGGCAGGCATTTGCCTGGGGGAGGGGCATTTGTCTAGAATTCAAGCATGAGTTGAGGGTCTCAGATGAGCTTTCAGGTTCCCTTTCATCCCAAGAAGCCAGAGGGAAAATGAGATGATCCGCCAGGTGGCTAACGCCCAGGACCAAATGCTGACGAAGGCTCCAAGCTCTTCACTCTTCCTTACTTCATTTCGCCCTCGGTGAACCTCCATTTCCTCCCCTTAAACTGGGGTGATAATACCTGACTCATCCCCAACGGCTTGGGCTACTACTGTGTGTGCAAAATGAGAAGAGGTAGTGTAAGCAGCTTCAGCTTCCCTGGAAGCAGGGCCTGGGAGGGGCTTCTGGTGATTTAGGAGGGCTTGTTCAGGAGAAGGGCACTGAAGGACGCAGGGCCAGGGCCAGGCCAGGAAAGAGAGCGGGCCGGGGATATGGTCTCGGCCAGCGATTTGCTGAATCTGATGCCCCGGGGGCTCCTGAGTGAGAATCGGGTGGGGGTTGCTTCCATCTTGAGACAAGAGGGTTGACGTGCTGCAGCCCAGAGGACCAGTGTTCATGGGCGACTGGGTCCTGTCCCTCCATTTGGCAGGGAAAAGGGGGCAGCTGTGACCTCAGAAACTCGTCCTTGTCCCAAGTCCCCCATGCGCCCAAGGTGGGAGCAGAGCTGTGCCCGGCCCAGGTTGTCTGCCAGCCTCCAGTCCCTTGTCCTTCCCATTCCTGCTGCGGGTGGCTCGCCTGGCTGGGACAGAGGTCTTGCCCTGCTGGGAAGTGTCCGGGATGCCAGGGGAATGGGGCACTACAGGGGCCCTCCCTCCTTATCAGAGCTGTAGGGGGTCCCTCTAGACCCTTAGCACCAGGGCCTGAGGCGTTTCAGCTGATTCTTGCAAATTGGCCCTTTGCTAAGGAAGCAGATATAACCGGGCAGGTGACAACTTTGAGGCTGTTGGGCATGCAGGTGCCCCTTCCTGGGTGCCCCTCCCTGGGGGAGTGAAAGGGAAACTGACCAATTGTACAAACCACCGACATTTCCTGACTCAGAAAAAGGAGGCTCCCTACACACACAAATGCACGCAGACCTTCATAGCACACACACGTGAGCTCATGCATGGCTCACAACACACCTGTGTTCAGGCATGCAGGACTACAGGACAGGCCCTCACCATACAGGTGCATGTGCACACACACACACACACACACACACACACACGCCTCCATACTATACCCTGGTGCCACCCTTCTGGCCTGCCCTTGCAGACAGCCCCACCAATGCTCACAAGCACCCACTTCCTCACACTCAGCCACGCAGGTGCACACACTGCAACATCACTCACATTTCAGGAGCACCCACCCACCTGTGTGTACGGACACACATTCCCAGTCACCAATACGCCCCCACGTCTCAGCCACCACCACAAGGCACAAGCAGGTACTCTCAGAGGAACTTTCAGCTGAGCAGCTACCTACAGGCATAACTGCACAGATTCTCCGAAGAGCACAGACACTCTTCACGTCCATTTAGTCCGCAGATATTGCTTGAGTGCCTGATGCTCGCCAGGCACTGCCTAGGCAGGCAGGTACACGGACACATGGACACACATCCAGACATGTGCACACAGTCACACACAGCCACCAAGACGCAGACTCAGAGGAGCGTGTGTGGGCACACACTCACACTCACATAGGGAGACAGCCATCCCCAGGCTGCCTCCAGGCACATACCGGACTTAGCGCTTTCCAGCATTATTGAGATGTAGTTGAGCACATCTCTGTCTTCTCAGGAAGAGGAAGGGGTTGTTGCAAGGCTTCATATGGCTCTTGCCTTGGTGTGTTCTCTTGCCACCCCCAACTTCTCCCCTATTCTCCCCCCTTCTTTCTCCCGACTGCTTCCTGTCTTTCTCAGGAGCTGGTGGCTACAAAGCTGTCACTGATAAGAAATCCAACCTGGCAACCTCTAGGCCTGGGATTCTTCCTCCCTTTGCATTGCTCCCACCCACTTTCTTTTTAGATCAACGCGACCGCCTTTCACTGAGGCTGGGACTGGACACTGATGACCTCCGGGGGGGGGCGGGGGGGAGAGAGAAATCTGTCCTGGAAACCAAAGGTTGAGAATTTGGTTGGAAAGTTAGAAAGACAGGAAAGAATCTAGTCTTTGGCAGTAGGGTATACCCTTTACCCCAATTACCAGGTCCAGTGCCCTCACCTCAGGAAGATAGGATGGAAGCTGGGGTGACCCAGAAACTTGCTTGAGTGAGAACTTGGCCACAGGCGTCTATCTCTGCTATTCTGAGCAATTTCCCCCACACCAGGCCCCTGACAGCTTCTCGGGCTGATGGTGAGCATGGGGTGGGGGTTGGTGAAGGAGATGATGAGGTGGCTGTGGTAACGGAGGTGTCGATGATGGTGGTGGTGATACAATGCTGTGGCATTCACGGTGGTGACGAGGGTATCCGTTCCTACAGAGTGCCTACTTCATGCTGGGCTCCGCTCGAAATGAGCAGATGCGTGTTCTCATTTCCCAGACGAGGCGGCTGAGGCAGACAGGTGACCTCACTTGCCTGAGATCACGTTATTCGTAACAGCCTGAGAGAGAGAAGCCCCGATGCATCACGCCCCGCCAGCATCAGAGCAGAGAAGTCGGGGGACCCTCCCACGCTCCGGGTTCCTATGCAGATGGGGCGTCTGAAGCCCAGTGGAAGAGACTTTTCAAGTCACGCAGGAAGATGGCGGCAGAGTCTTCTCCAGGGACGCACCGACGCGGTTCTCCAGCAAGCCAGGACTCTCCAGAGGGGCAGGGGCTGTGGCCAGCTCTGGCTCGGCTGGGCTGACAAGGAGGAGTAGCTCAGACAATTAATGCAAATGCTATTTGTCACGCTGATGGTGTTACAGGGCAGGGAGAGGGGCAGCCCAGACCCCGCAAACCTGCCTATGCTATATAGGGTCCTGCCATCCGCCGCATCAACACAAAACATAGGAGACTTCAATGGGAAGGAACTTTGATAAAACTAGGAAACAATACAGGAAAGGCAAAGAATCTAGTTTCTAAATGAACTACCCAAAGTCACCCGTCCCCTCGTGGGTAAAACTCCATCCAAATGGGACTGGCCCAGAGCAAGGCCCCAAAGCCTGCCACAAGTCTAAAGCATCTTCCAGTGGGGACCCACAGAAAAGGGTCAGAAACCACCAGACAAGCCTGGAAGGAAAAGAGCAAAATCAAAATCAAGATAAAAGCTGCCACTGTCACCTCCCCATGGGTCTCACCACATCTGTGTCACCCCGTCCAAGACCAAAAGGCAAGCACAGTTTTTTCACGTGTCTCTAGGCAACATGCGCCTCCTCCAGGCCTCCTTCTGGCTCCATCCTGCCTCCCTCCTTCCTCAGTCTCCTCTGCAGCCTCTTCTCTCTCTCAGCTCCACCCTCCTTTTGGGTGGGGCAGGGAACCTGGAACCTCCCCCTTTGCTGGGGACCACCGGTTACAATGGCACAAAGTTGGGAACCCAGTTGGGACTCAGGTAGTGACCACTGCCCTGGGCTGCAGAAAAGGCCAAACTGCTGTCCACTTGCAGAAAATCTACCTACTGCACACCGGGCGTGGTAAGGTTTTGCATGTGGGAGGCACTGGGTGAACTGGACCCACTTTACAGAGGGAAATAAGTCACTGCAGAGACAAGGAAAGCACGGGCAGGGACAGTGATGCCCTCTAGAAATGCCCCATAGTCAAGGCAGCAGTTCAGTTTGGTCCAGGACCCAGCAAGGGCCCAGGTATTTCTTGCCCAGAATGCCCAGCTAGTAACGGTCGAGCCTAGATGAGGGTCTAGTTTTGTTGGAATTTCTCTTTATTGGGGTCAATAACTCTGAGGTCCTCCAAGCTGTGATTTCTGCCTCCAGAAAGGGGTGAGGAGAGGTGTGCCTGTGAGATGCCTCCAGGGAGCCTGGTGTGTGAGCCTGGGGATGTGACAGGTGGTAAGACAGAAGGAAAGCACCCGGGGCAATAAGAGGCCCCCTAATGGGGAGGTGCAGGCCCAGCCCCCAGCCTGAGGGCAGGGACCTCCCGATAGGATAGGATCGAAGAGCAGAAAATCAAAGCCCTCAGAGGATTAGCCTGGACAGCGGAGGCTGGCCTTAATAGACTTCCTGCATTAAAGAGGTTTTTTATTTGGTTTTGTGTTTAATATCGACGTTCCGTTTTACCCTGTTTGTCAGCACAGGCTGGGCTTGTGGGGCGCCCCGGGAGGGGGATGTCCCAGTGATGTGATGAGGAGCCTGGGCCTTGAGACAGGCTGTGAGGAGCTACCCAAGGCCCATGGCTAATTAAGGAGCAGAGATGAGGACCCGTGTTTCTGGCCTCCCAAATTTCTATCCGGGTGGGTAAACAGAAGCAGAGCCATCCCCAGAGCCTTCTTCAAGGAAATCATTCTATGATGGGGTGTGGGAAAGTTCAGTTCTGGAGTGGATTACGGGGGAGAGGGGCAAGCTTTAGGGGCGGGGAGAAGAATGGGAAGCGTAACCTTGGAGCAGACAGAAGAACACGTGGGCCACGGAGCAGAGAGATGCGTCTACCTGAGGGAACAATGCGCTGGATACGCTGCACAGAAGACAGGCTGTGAAGACGCTGAGGACGACACTTTCCATCTGTGGATATATTTGGAATGAAATGTTGGGCTTTGTTGGTAATAGACAAATGGTCCCGTTTTCATAACAGATGGCAACTTTTCACTGGCCTGTGAGATACGTGAATGAAATTGTTGGCTTAATTGTAAAGAATTTGTTTGGATTTTGCTTTTTTTTTTTTCCAAACAATTTTTTTCATTTTCTTTTCTTTTTTTATTTATGCCTAGAAGAGCTGAGAAGTAGGCCAGAGGTGTTGTGAGAGGGGTGAGGGTGGGTGGGGGGTGAGAGGATTCACCAGAGACCAAGTGGGGAGCAGAACAGGCAGATCCACCAAAATACACTGCTGAGGGGAGCAGCAGGTGAGACAGGAGAGGTCTGCTGTGCCATGTGGGTAGCTCCCTGGCTGGGGATCGAACTCATGATGTAGGGGTGATAGCGCTGAGACTTAACCCCTAGGCCACCAGGGAGGCCCTGGATTTCAATTTCTTTCACCTCTGTGGCAGAGTGCAGAATGGAAAAAGAATGTTAAACACCCATTGCTCCCTTAAAAATAGAAAAATATATATTAAAATTATTTTATTAAGAAATAGCAAAGATGCACATGGCCACCAATAGAGAAGAGAATGTGGGGTGGAGGGGGACTCCCCAGGCAGCAAGAACAGCAGAGCCCAGGCCCAGGCTGGATGGTGCTTGACCACATGGCGCGGCAGACCTCTCCTGTCTCGCCCGCTGCTCCCCTCAGCAGTGTATTTCGGTAGATCTGCATGTTCTGCTCCCCACTCTGTCTCTGGTGAATCCTCTCACCCCCCGCACCTCTGGTCTACACTCCAGCTCTTGTATGCATAAATAAATAAATCTTTAAAAAAATTGGGAGATAAAGATAATGATCCCCATTTCAGAGAGAAGGTAACTGAGGTACAGAAAGGTTAAATGATCTTTTTCAAGGTCACCCAGCTCATGGAACAGGGGTGAAATATGAACTCCAGGCCTCACCCAGGCTAGTCCTACCACACATTTTCTTTCTAAAGCCCAGAAAACAGCATTTGAACTCTTGAAGAGACCCAGTACTTTAGCATTTTGTTGTTGTGTTTCTATTTTGTGATCTTCATTTCAAAAATTAGATTAGACATTCTCATGGAACAGAAATCCAAAAGCACAGAAGGGCGTGCGGTGGCAGTGCCCCTCAACCCGTCCTCCATTCCAGAGCTCACCTCTGACCTTTGGTGAGGGCGGGAGGGGCCGACTTCAAAAATCGGTGGAATGTCGCTTTATAAGTTTTGCTTGCATAAGTCAAATTTCGTTTCAGCTGGCCCTGGGAGCAAGGACAGTGTTTGAAAATGAACCCAAGAGCATTACAATAGCTGTCTTCTCTCTCTGGTTTCTGCCTTTACAACTTTTGACATATGTAAATGCCAGAGGTGGAATCCAAAATCGTTGGAAAACAAATGATTTTCAAGTCTATAACCAAGTAGAAAGACAGGCTCTTTCCTTCCCAGGAAATGATGACTTTTCACAGCATTTCCTTAGTTCAATAAAGTTCAGAGAAGTTGATGGGTCTCTAAGGGGCCAGGCAGCCTCCGGGGCTTGTCAATTCCTCCTGCTTTATTTACTGCCAAGCAGGAAGGGAAGCAAAGAGCTGATCCGGGTCCTGAGTCAGAAAGCCTTTCTCTCTCTCTCTCTCTCTCTCTCTCTTCCCCCCCCCCCGCCCTTCTTTTGCTCTCTCCGATATTTCCTTCCCTTGTGACTTCATTTCCAATGCTGGCCGCAACAGCAGGGGTAGAATCCTCCCAAGATTCTACCACAGGAAGGACATGTCCCTCCATGGGAAGCACAGTGTAGACCCTGGTCCTGTCAGTCTCTCTGAAGGCGGCGTCAGCCCAGGGCCCTGGGCTGGTGGCCGGCGCCCACCTGCGTGGACCACAGCTCCTGTCCACTGTGCCGTTGCTCCATGGCTCTCCCTGCTGCTTTCTCCTCCCAGCCTCTCATCTCCCCTTACTTCCTTCCAGACTCAGCCCTGTTCTTCTTTAGCTTTTAGTGACTAACTCAACCCACATCAGGTAGCTGCTTTCAAACACCTTCCCCTCCAGACCTGGGAGTTCCTCACTTGACTGAGAGGAGCACATGAGAGTCGGGAACAAAACTCAGTTCTGAAAATTCCCAGTCTGCAATTTTGAGGAAGTCACACCCCCATTCTGAATCTCATTTCTTCATCTGTAAATTGAGGGATGTGACAGGCCACTCAGAGTGGCTTTCCAGGGCCACGCGTTTTTCTGGTTCTGGGGAAGTTTTGCCTTGTGTTGATAGGGCCTTTCTGTGGGAAGGATTCCTCAAACTCCCGGGAGCTTGGCCCACATCCCCACCTCAGCCCACCCTTGTTGACACTTCTCTGCCCCACCAGGCACCCAAGGAGACAAGTTTCTCTGCTACAAAATTTCTGGACCCACATCCCAAACCCTGCCTGCCTGAGGTCCCTCAGCTTGGTGCTTCTGACCTAGAGAATGGGGTAAAGAAAGCACCGTTAGGGCCTCCCTGGTGGCACAAGGGGTTAAGACGCAGCACTATGAAGCTGTCCGCAGCCACTGCAGCATGAGTTTGATCCCCAGCCAGGGAGCTACCCACATGGCACAGCAGACCTCTCCTGACTCACCTGCTGCTCCCCTCAGCAGTGTATTTCAGTTAATCTGCCTGTTCTGCACCCCACTGCTCTGCTGAATCCTCTCACCCCCCCCACACCTCTGGCCTGTACCCCAGTTCTTGTATGCATAAATAAATCTTTAAAAAAAAAAAAGAAAGCATCTCTAGCAGAGAGGAGGACGGACAGGGTGGACGGCCGCCTCACCATCTGGACGAGACACACACGTGACCTGCCCTGACGTGACCGATGGAGACAGTCTGCGTGTGTGTTGTGATAGTAACAGAAAAGGGTCACTCCTGACCTCACCTAGTGCGTGTTCTGGGACCTCAGTCTGGTGAAAGAAGAATATTTTCTTTTCCTGTCTACTTGCAGAAATTTCCTGCACATTCTGGACACCAGCCCTGTGTTAGTTATCCAGGGGGCAAATGCCTTCTCCTAATCTCTAGTGTGTCGATTAATTCGTTAGGGGTATAGTTCCTGTATTTCAATGCAGTCAAATATTTTCCTTTATGGTCAGTGTAACATGTTGTGCGCTGACATAAAATCATACTCTGGGGGCAAAAACAATATTTACTTCTAAAAGTTTTAAGATTTCTCTTTTCCTTTAGGACCTCTTTTGTGTGTGTTTGTGTGTGTGTGTGTGTGTAGAATCTCATTTTATCTTTCTGTTCAGATAGCCAATTGCCCATAAATACTTTTTAAAATTATGGTAAAATCAGTGTAAAATTCACTTGTATAGTGGCTAAGGGTTTGGTTCGGTGGCACCGAATATATTCACAGCTTGTGACCATCACCTCTAGTTCCAGAACATTCATCATCACCCCAAAGGGGAACCATATACTCAGTAAGCACTGATCCCCTCTCCCCTTCCCCAGCCGCAAGCAACCACTTTTCTGGCCCATTTTGGATATTTCATATAAATGGAATCGGACCAGGTGTGGCCTTTGTGCCTAGTTTTTCTCACTCAGCAGGACATTTTCAGAGTCCATCCGAGTTACCTCCTGCATCAGCCTTTCCTTCCTTTACACGCTGAGTAACACTCCATTGTATGATGGCCCACGTTTTGTTTATCTGTTCATCTGTGAATGGACATTTGGGCTGTTTCCATCTTTTTACTATTGTAAAGAGCACAGCTAGGACATGCCTGTGCAGGGGTGTTGGTGTGCACACCTGTTTTCAATTCTCTGGGGGGCGCAGCCACTTTCTGAGCCAAGTGTTCTTCCCCACTGAGTGTTCTTCCCCACTGATCTGCAGCTCTTCCTCTGTCTGGTGCTGAGTGAGTCTCCACATCTTGGCCCTCCCTCTCCCTCTCGGCTGACTCTGTTCCAGCAGCTAAGGACCCGCCTGGCACCACGCACCCTGCATGATTGCTGGAACTTCAAGGCGCACCTGCTATCTGGCCCCCACCAACTAGTCTCCACACTGTGGCCCTCCCTCTCCCTCTCAGCTCAGACTCTGTTCCAGCAGCCTAAGGATCCAGCCTGGTACCACGCACCCTGCGTGATTGCTGAACTTCAAGGCGTGCCTGCTATCTGCTAGGGCAAGTGCCAAGTCTCCCCGCCCTGCTTGGTCAACACTGTCCTGATTAAAGGAGGTCCCCTGTTCGTCCCTGTGAATTTTAGGTGCAGGGGCTGACAGGGGCCACACAAACCCTGTGGGCTTTGTTGGACACTTCCAGGATGATTTGAGGGGAGCTGTTACCTTTGTGAGGTTGAAGCTTCCTAGCAAACACAGCGGATCTTTTTCCTTCCACCTCAAGGCTTGTCTACATGACTCGCTCCCCTCCGGCTTATCATCTGTGGATTCTTCCTTCTTCCCATGCAGTCTTTCCCGGTCCTCTGTCTCCCTGATCACAACTGGCCTGAAAAATTAATTGGGAGGGTCTTGGTTTAATGTCCGGGGCGGTAGACTCCTCTGGGCCTATGACAACACCACGCTGGTTTACCTTGGTGCCCTCAGTCTGTAGGAAAGAGGCTGACAGGTAATAGGTAATAAATGTTGTCAAAAGACTAAAGAAGGTCCAGGAAGGAGGCCCTGGAGGACTGGCCCCCAAGAGCCTTGATGGTAACTAGAGAGATGAGGAACAAAGTTACTTAGCTGGATTAGGGATGTGCTGATTCAGATGTGCTGAGATTAAGTGAGCTCAGGTAAACTGCAGAGCTCTGCAAGCCAAGTTAGCCAGGCAAGTAGTCAGAGCTACTGGGTTCTCCTAAGGCCTAGCCTCAGTATTCAGTTTCACTCTCCTCTGAAGTTCCTTTAGCCTCCCCAGACCTTCCACCAACAGTTACCACATTCCCTCCCCCATCAACTAGTCATCTTGACTCCAATTTGCATATGAGGTAAATGAGTCTTGGTGGGGAACAGTGACTCATCTAAGGCCTAAAGTAGGCCTGGAGCTTCGGACCCACACTTAGCATGTATCATCTTTATGGTGGTTTCCGCAGCACTGGGTGAGTAGGATTGCTGGCTACATATTGACAACTATGTGGCTCCTCTCAAAAAAGAACTTTCAGAGCCAACGTGTGGACAAATTATTTTTATTTTATTGTTACTCAGGTAGAAGCTGAAAATGAAGCATGGACTCCTCATGCACATAACTCTTCAAACCAATTGTAGAAACCGAAACGAATCTTCTCAGTAAATACAAACATGACCACAAGGCCAATAAAATGCAAATTAACAACATTCAATTAATGTGACTGATGATGTGTTGCTCACAGCAGACCTCCTCCATGGCTCAACGGAGGCCGAGTAACGATTCGTTTTTTATGTTTCCTATCTCATTGTCTCTTGATTTCCATCATGATGACCCAGCACTTGAGCCAGTGTCAGAGTTGCTGTCATTGTTTTCTTAAAAAAAAAACATAAGGGGGCCTCCCCGGTGGCGCAGCGGTTGAGCGCTGGGTTGGGAAGCTGCCCGCAGCCTCTGCAACGCCAGTTCAATCCCCGGCTGCTCCCCGGCCACCAGAGGAGGGTCCCACATGGCGCACAGACCTCTCCTGCCGCCCGCTGCTCCCCTCAGCAGTGTACCTCGGTCCTTCTGCCTGCTCTGCTCCCCGCTCTGGCTCTGGTGAATTCTCTCACTGTCCCGCGCTTCTGACTATACCCAGTGCTTGTATAAATAAATGAATAAATAAATAAAATCTTAAAAAAAACAAAAAAAAACCCATAAAACCCACTATGAACTCCTTTATAATCTAGGATGATGGCCCAAACAATCTAAATAATGCATTCTCACACGCAGTAATGAAAGATGGGGAAGGCTAACTTAGCATTAGGTGCTCATTGTCTAGGCCTTGGGATACGCACTACGGATGAGCTGCTGCCAGTGTGTTCACCAAAGACAATAATGGGACGATTTACGTCCCAGCAAAGGGCCTTTGTGCTCAGGCAGATCCTCATTCCCTGTGTGGCTGATGATTCAAGTCTCCCAACACCCCACTGGACCTACCAGGGAACTTCATTCTCCCAAGATCCAGGACGGGAGGTGCCCACAGCCTCTGTGCATCCCCCATTTATTCAATTAGGCCTCTGTGGTTGTCTCATTTGCCTGAAACAATTAAAAGTAGACATCAGGGGCGACTCACGGCCGCTTTCACCATGTCAGCGCACAGTTCCAGTGCGTTCAATGACTTAAGACGCTCATGGAGTCACCTCTGAAAATGACCTTCAGTGGCAAACTGATCCTGGCATAAGGAAGTTTTGAGTTTCCCACGGGCAAAACAGATGGCCCTGACACCCCCCTCCGCCCCGCCCCGCCTGCAGGAGCGAGCTGACCGGGGTGGTGGCTGCGGGAGGAGCTGAGTGCGGGCAGCGGGTGCGCCCGTATCCAGGCCCCAGGAGGGGGCCGCTGCCGCACAGGGGCCAGAAGCACGAATTCTGACATAGTTTTTTTGGGGGGAGGGACGGCGGGTGGGGGCTCCCTGCTAAGTAACTCTACTTGAAAATCCTAGGGATGCGGCGAGCCCCGCCTGAGAAACTCGAGGCTGAGGGAGCCCTAGTCGTGCACAAACACCGGGCGGCGGGCCCCGCGCTACGTGCGCACGGAGCAGCCCCCCGCTTCCGGAGCACGAAGCTGAGGGGCTCCGCTCCGAGGGGCTGGAGCCCGCCGGCCTGTCCCTCGCTGCATCTGGCTCTTCCTTCCCCAGGAAACCCCGGGCGGGGGAGACCTCCCAGGCGCCGCTTCCCCGGGGTCTGGCCCTGCGCCAGCGCCCCAGGCCCCGCCCGCAGCCCGGGTCGCAGCCCCCACCCCGGCCCCCCAAGCGCGGCGCCTGGGGGCCGCCCCCCTCGCTGCCCGCGGCGGCTGGGGCCTGGCCGCGCGCACCAGGGATTGTCTTCTCTTTTTTGAGTGGAAATGAAACAAACACCCCCCCGCCCCCCGCCCCCGCCCCCGCGCCCGCCCAGCCGCCTGTCCGGGGCGGGCCCGGGGCGCACAGACCGGCGCGGCCGCAGGGAGAGCGCGCGCCCGGGGCCGGCGTCCTCGCACCGAGGGGCCCGCGGCTGGCGGCCGAGGCGCAGGCGGCACCCCCCGGCCGGGCACGCCCCGGGGCGCGGGCGGAGACCGCACCGCGACTGCTGCGCCGGGGGCCGGAGCCGACGCGCGCTCCAGCCCGGGGCGCGCCCGCCGCCCGCCGCCCCCCGGGCCCAGCTCCGGCGATCAGGTGGGTCCCGCGGGCGCCGCCCGAGCCCCCGGCGCGCGAGCGCGGCGGGGCGGCGCGGGGAGAGGCCCGGCCGGGTTCCGCCCCGCCGGGTTCCTGCTTTTGTTCTGCTCGCCACCGCCGCGCTCCGGCCCTTCCCGCCCCGCCGCTGCCGCCGCCCGCCCTGCAGGGAGAGCCGCCGCGGGGCGCGCGGGGCGGGAGTGAGGGGGCGGCTCGGGGAGCACCAGGGGAGTCTCCGCAGGGGCAGGAGGCTGTCCCCGTCTCGCCCAGGACTCCTGGGAAAAGGAAGCTTCTGCGAACGGGAAGCCTGGGGAGGAAGAGAGGGGTGCGTGCGCCCCGGGGGGCAGGGGTGCAGGGGAGGGACGGGAGAGCGCGGCGCTCGGGGAGCTGCTGACCGAGCCAAAAACCCAGCCTGGGAAAGTTCCAAACACTGCAACTTTGGCAGCAAAAGGGCCTGCTGCATGGGAGTGACGGGAGGAGGGTCCCTTGAACTGCGCGCCGCCGGGTTCCCTCTCCAGAGACACCCCACCCCACGTTTGAAAATGGCAGAAAAACAGCTAAGCGGAAGGATGGCACACACGCGTGCAGGGCGTCCAAGAAGGAGTAAAGTGGGGGCAATGTCAGGCGCCAGGAGAGAAAGGGGGCTAGAGACTCCCCAGTCTTCCCACTGGCCTCCCCGAGGGAGAAGGGGGGCTGGAGCCTGCCAGTCCCTTCTCCCCCCCCCCCCCAAAGGAGACCCTGGAAAGGAGACCCTGGCGGCTGTCCTGCGGCTCAGCTGATCCCTCCACTCCTGGCTCCTGAGCAGGCCTGGGGCCTCCTTCATTCACCTGGAAATAGATCCCTCTGTAGAGGCAGAAGATGCAAGGGGGGGGGGGGTCCTGGCCTTGCTCCCTCAAACCCCCCACCCCAGCACTCTCCCAGACACAGCCCCACCTTCTACCACCCCGAAATGGGGGTACTGCTGGAGTAAGGAAAATGCAGAGTGAGGAGGGGTGGGGTGTGTGTGTGTGAGAGGGGGGGGGAGAGGGAGGGAGAGGATGTGGATATGGCTGTTCTGTTGGAGCTTCTTTGACCACCTAAGCCCTCTCTACTTGCTAGGAGTCATTTCTGGGCATACCTTGCCTCCCCTACCAAACTGGGGGGGGACAGATAAGATTCCAGTTATTGTTAAAAGTAACAGGTGCTCTGTGGCTGAAGAGTCCCTGGGGTTTACCTGGTCCAGGAACTCCAACTGTGGAGCCCTAGGACTCTGACAGGCCAGCCTAGTGGCTTGATCCTGAGGGGCTCTGACCCCTCCCGGCATTGCAGACAGAGCAGTTCAGTTCTGCCTTTCTCTCTTCTCTGCACTGGAAACCACAGCAGCTGTTGCTATCTAATTCCTCTGACTAGTTAGAGCTGGGCAGGTTTCTGGGTGGAGAAACTGAGACAGGAAGTGTGCACAGTGATCTGGGCAAGTTGGACTGGAGGCCAAACCTTACCAGGAAACCTGTGTCCTCAGTCCCAGGCGTTTCTCCAGCCCTTAGCACGGCTCACCTGGACCCTAACCGAAGGGTCCCTGGGCTGCCGTGGGGTCTCATCCTTGGAGCTTTTGCAGCCCTGGAGGCACCTTCCCATGCAATTTGGTTTCAAAGACGGAGGTCAAGAAGAATTAGGTTCCCTGGGAGCTAGTCAGCAGCACCCGGCGCCTTTCCCAAGCCATCCCACCGAGTAGGAGAGGTGAGTGTCCTCCACCTGTTTTGCAGTGGAGGAAACGAAGGCTCAGAGATGTCAGCTCACTCGCAGCTGGGATTTGAGTAGAGGTGCTTCTGTCTCTAAGGCATGTGTGATTTCCACAGCGTGATCTCTCGTGGTGGGCAGAAAATGACAAATGGACAGATGGCTGATAGGGGAGCAGCGTCAGGCTGGGGACTGGCATTCACATAGGAGCATTCGTCGTATAAATACAACTTTATTTGATCTGCGACTCTGCCCTGAACTTTCTTTTTATGCTAGTGTTTATCTTAAAGCTCCGTAAATATTATTTTTCTAATTTGTAATTAAAATATAATTTGTATACAATAAAACGCACACTTTCAGGGACCCATTCGGCTTTGGAAAGTGGCTTACACTTGTGTAGCCAAATGAAATATTAAATATTTGCATCATCCTAAAAAGTCCTCATAGCCAGTGAATTTTCCTCTTCTCCTTGCAGGCAAACATTTTCTGATATAGAATTGTTAATTACATGTGCTTGTTCTTGGACTTGACATAAATTCAGCTATGCTGTATGTCTTTTTCATGTCTGGCTTATTTCACTTGACATAGTGTTTTGTTGTTTTTTTTAACTCATCTGTGTGTTTTTTTTTTTAACTCATACGTTGTTTCATTTTATTTTGGGGTAGTATTCCTTTCTATGGATATACCACAATTTGTTTATTTATTCTCCTGCTGGTGAACATTTGGGCCATTTTAAGTCTGGACTGTTTCTTATCAAAGTCTCTTGTGGACGTTTGTTGAGTAACATTGTTGGGTCACGGGGATTATCACTTTGTGGCCACACAGCAAAGTATGAGATGTAAAATTATGCCACATCATAATATTTGCATTGTCCATCTTTTTAACTTGCGTGTTTTTATTAATTGAGCCGTGATATTTTTATACCTTCGGTTTTTATCATGGCATTGTAAGAAGTGTTGGCGACAACACCATGAGCAAGGGGCAGAAGATGAAGAAGAGGTTGGCATGGAGGCCCACCATGTGTGACTTGGGAGGGAAGGAACCAATGGTGGTTGGAGCCGTGACCTTAAGAACAGAAGGAACGTTCTCTGTGTCTCTGTGTATCAGCAAGATGTCTTAGTTGTACAGACCTGGTTTATACTCTATAAACCAGTCAAGTTCATCCGCTGTTATGGGTTTTTTTTTTAAGATTTATTTATTTATGCATACAAGAACTGGGATGCAGGCCAGAGGTGCAGGGGGTGAGATAATTCACCAGAGACAAGAAGGGGGAACAGAACAGGTGGACTGACTGAAATACACTCCTGAGAGGAGCAGCGGGGAGACAGGAGAGGTCTGCTGCGCCATGTGGATAGCTCCCTGGCTGGGGATTGAACTGGTGCTGCAGTGGCTGCTGATAGCTTCATAGTGCTGAGACTTAACCTCTTGTGCCACCAGGGAGGCCCATTCTTATGGTTTTAAATGCTACCTGTGTAACAATCATCTTTATCTCCAGTTCATTTTTCTGTTTTGAGTTCCCGAGTCATATGTTTACCTGTCCACTGTGCATCGCTCCTTGGCTCTCCAAGACACTGCAAACTCATTGAGTTCAGAACGGAATTCATGTCTCATATTGGCTTTCTGCTGTGCACAAACCATGGTGCACTAGTTGAGGGCAATTAGAAAGAGGTCTGTTCAAGGTGGGGGTGGGTAGTGAATTTGGTTCCTGCTAAATGGTGCAGAAAAGGGGTCTCCTTGGTGGCGCATGGGGTTAAGACAAAGCACTATGAACCTATCTGAAGCCACTGCAGCACGAGTTCAATCCACCAGCCAGGGAGCTGACCCCCATGGCGCAGCAGACCTCTCCTCTCTCGTCCACTGCTCCCCCCAGCAGTGTATTTCAGTCAATCCGCCTGCTCTGTTCCCCATTCTGCCTCTGGTGAATCCTCTCACCCCCCCACACCTCTGACCTGTAGCCCAGCTCTTATATGCATAAGTAAATCTTTAAATAATAATAATAATAAATAGTAAATGGTGCAGAAAAGTCTTAGAAGAGAAGAACTAGAGATAACACTGGGCAGTTAGGAGGCTCACAAAATCTGAGAGCAGCTGTGATGGAGAGAAGGCAGGCAAGCCTTTCTAGGATCCTGAATGACTGGCCACCCTGGTGGGAGCAAAGGCAGTGGAGACGGTGATGTACTCAACTCCCCGGGAAGTTTCTGAGAGGTCAGAAGAGAGATTGACCTGTAGTGGGGAGACTGGATGAAGAAAGAATTTTAGGATGGGAAAGACAAGCGAACTATAGCCCCAGGAGGATTCAGTCCGGGAGAGGGCAGGGGTGGCAGATAGAACAAGGCGCCAGGAGGAGCAGGAGGGGTGGGGAGGGTGGGCTTTGGAAGGAGGGTGCATGTTCCACCTCTGAGACTGGATGTGAGAGAATGAAAACAGAAAACTTTATTAGCTACAGAATTTTCTGCTGACTCTCCAGGCACACAACTCCTAATCACGACATGCGAGGCCCTCAAGGTCCATTACCAGCTGCTCCCTGCTCATCGGGTGTATATGCTGGCGGCCACACCGCCTTATTCATCGCTCGCATTAGGTGGTGACCTCAGGGCAGGGATGGCTGCAGGGTTTTGTGCCTCTCCTGCGAGCCAGCCAGAAAATTTGCTCCATGTGTCTCCTGTCCTGGTATACGTTATTTTCATGCTAAAGGCTGGAGGGAGAAAGAAATGACACGATTCCTCTAAAGCCCTCTACTCTGAGCTGGCCTGGACTCTGAGTCACTTCAGCCCATGCTCCACTGGTCAAAGCCAGCTAAGTATATTTTTTGCTTGTTGGCAGGGAATGGGCACTTGGAACCCTAATCCACCTGACTGCATGTGTTTGTTAACTTCTTGATAAAGGTTCCACTTTTTCTCTCCAGGTTAACCCCCACCACACCACCTTCTCTTTGAGAGCCTTGTTCCGCTTTTCTCAAGCGTGACAATAGCCTTTCAAGTCCCTTTACCTGTGTCTCAAGTCATCACTTCAGCCCTCCCCCCACCCCCATCTAATCCATGCCTGCTTCAGTGGATCCTGTCTCTCTGCCACCCTCCAGACAGTCTCTGCTGCAGCCCCTGCTCTGCCCTCCCTGTCCTGTTCCGGTCTCCTGTTCTCCAGCACATCTTGTCACTGCAACCCGAGCCTTGTCCCCAGACACCAACTGATCAGGTTTCCTGTCTTTGCAAGACTCCCTCTGCCCTCACGATAAAGCACATGATCCTGTAGGGGACACCTGTGGTCGCACATGACCCGCTTACCACTGG